GAAACAAGCCAAAAAACCGATATGCAGTCCTAAAAAATCATCGGGATACAATGATTGTTACTGTAACGTACTTCCTGAGTAGGTTTAACAAATATTCGTCTCGTCAAAACCAATAGTGGGAAAATAAATGTAAATATTGCCTATAGAGACTTAGAACGTGATACAGGTAATTTTTAGAAGACATTCAGATAAATTGGGTTGTTCATTTGGATTTTCCTTTTACGTTTTGATTTCAGAAATAGACGTGGTCTGCAAACCTGACTTCATCGAGGTCTCTCTAAAGATTTCAGATTTCCCTGGAATCGTTCTCAACGACTCTTCTCTTCATCTTGAGGACAGAAACTGCGTTCCTGGTTACAAAGATAACACGAAGGTGACGTTTAAGTTTGGACTTGAGGATTGCAGCACTAAACACAAGAACGATGGGGAGAAGATATACTACACGAACAAGGTCTACCTCAAAGCCGGTGAGGCGGCCGAAGACGAGGCGATAACTCGCGAACACACGGAGATTATTCCTTTTCACTGTGGATATAACAAGAAAGCCATCCTCTCCAAAGTTTCATACAACCCACGCGCTGTGCAAATCATAACAGATACAGGTAAAGTACTTGCTTGGTTTCCATTTATAATAAAGAACATTCTCTCTATAAGCTCTTTGTCACCAGACTGTTGTGTCTGCAATCTCTGAAAGTATTAGGTACATGGTAAGGTGCCAGTTGTGTTTGAGGTTTGGGAACAAAGTTTATTTTTGCCTGCTGAAACTGACCACAGCATGACTAAAACTTCAAAATCTCGTTTCAAACTTGGATTATTGACTTAACTGGCCTTTTTCCTTTGCTCTCCGCCTGGAACATAGGGCTTCCGCAGCGACTTTACATACTCCCTCTTCCTATCCCAAGGGACTATTCGGGTAAGGTCTACATACCGTATTCGCTGCTAACCCTAACCCTAACCCTGTAACTGGCTTTCACTCACCAAGTGGTCGGCTAAGAGGGTTCACTTGAACCCTTAGCCTCGAGAATCGTTGCAGCACTAACACTCCGCTTTCTGCTCGATCGAGTGCCTCTTTACACCAAGGTGAGACGCCTCTCTTGATGAGATCACTGTGAGCTCCTGGACAATGCCGATACCTCATCAATTGTAAATCAATTTTAATAGCCTTACAATCTTAATATCAAACTGTTGTTGATAAGAGGGGAACTTTGAATTGAATAAAGTAATAGGAGCAACTAAAGTAAGCCGCAGTTAGCGTTAACGAGTCCAAACCATAGAGAACCATACGCAGATAGAAAACTTCTTCATTATTTGTCCTGCTTTTCCAGAGGGCATTGGCAACTTCACGTACTATATGGACATGTATGAGGACGAAAGCAACAACGCAACGGTCACAGAATTCCCAAAAGAAGTTGGTTTGGGTCAAAAGATGTATTATGGCTTTCGAGTGGAGTCTGGAGACACTGGTTTGGTTGTGTTCCCGGATGTTTGCAAAGCCACAGCATCGCCTAGGTTCAACTCAACTCCCGACCACGTCATCATCGACAAGGCGTAAGTAAGATACCGAAACTGAAATTTGATAAGACAACAATGATTTCCACGAACCCTTGCTTTAAGAATTAGGCCATGGAAAGACGTTTTTCCTGAAAAAAAATACTCTGACATGAAGAAATAATAATGAAAAAAATATCAAAGGCTTAACGATGATTTAAAAATGGGCTTTATGCACTTTGAAAACCCTTAGCCCAATTCTCCCTGCATATGACAGTGAAGTCGGAAGCTCTAGGGCTCAGATCTTGAGTGAGAGCTGAAGAATATTTCCGTTGTCCAACACTCATCACAAATATTGACATCTTTTCCAAAAATGATTTGTGAAACGTTTGACGGAGACATCATAATTTAGCAAAGGATGGATAATTTTTTTCTTTTTTCAGCTGCTCAAAAGACAATACTTTACAATACCAGTATGGCCAAAGATCAGAACACTTCTTCAATCTTGATGCCTTCCGCTTCACAGAAAGCTTTAGTGATATCTATGTCCACTGTAAGCTAACGATTTGTCGAAAAGATGACGACGAATCTAGGTGCGCCAAAGGTTGTCAGCCTACAAAGAGAAGAAAGAGATCAGCGGAAGAGGACTTTGGTGCCAGTCTCTACATTGGACCATTGAAACCAAAAGTCGTCGAGAATGACGCTGGTGAGTAATAAAAAAGTGTTCACGTGGATACGTCCAAATTATCTATTTAAGCTTATTTCACAGATGCTTCGAGAGAAAAGTTAGTCGCCTGCTACCTCTATCTATCGCCTACATTTACTTCTCACAGAAGTATCCACAGCAGTCATATTGGTACCAGAGCTCTAGAACGGCAGCCATGTTCAGTACTGCAACCAAAACATCCTTCACTTATTCAAATTTATTAAATGCTTCATGGAAACTTTTCCTCTATAAATTTATCGCTACTGCTCAATCAGCAATTCGCATGAGCTCTAACGGTTTTTTTCTACTTCTCAGTCCTAAGTAAATTTCAGAATAGTTTGGAGTAAGTTCAGTCTTGATGCTAAGACCAGTTTAAATTTTAAACCAACAACACTTTATTTCCACCGTTCAGAATCTGATGGCTTGAAAGCAACGATTAAAAAGGTTTTGTTTAAGCTCTCCTGTACTCATTAGTCAATAAACTTTGTCCTTCCTCCTCTGCACAGTTAAAAAGAACAGCGACGATCAGTCAGATTCCATTGATAGCACGATTCCTATTGTGGGAATTTTAGTCGGAGTGCTAGGAACGCTCGCCATTGGGCTCACTGTCGCTGTGATTGTCATTAGCCGACGTCGAAAATCCTCGGGCAATGGATTGTTTCTCGTTGTTAGTGAAGAAACGTAGACTGGTCCGCAACAGGCTGCAGTGCAGAAATGATCACTTCAAGAAAGGGTTGGCCGGAACACTTAAACTTAAAAGTTGCGTTTAGGATACCATGAGGTCTTATGGCTCATTATAAATGTATTTTAATTAGGCATTTGATTTTTTTGCTTTTTCTTACTCAAGGAGTTTTCGTTATGTTATCTATAGGCAGGAGTTTCATCGTGACAACGTTAATACTACCTCGGCGATGGTTTCAATGACCACGTTTACCTGCGCTATGAACGGCACATTTTCTAGCCCTAGTGAATCAGAACAGTCAAGTTATTTTCGAGAATTTCTTTTTCATGCTTGATATCGAGTGATATTAAAGTCCTTTAAAACATGGTACAGTTCTACCTTCCCCCCTCTCGTCAAAGTGCCTCTGAGAAAAAAAAGTTATAGCTTATTTCCAATGCAAAACGGTAATTTGAATTGCTGCCTACCAAATGTTCCTCATTGAAAATTTAAACCCTTACTTCTCCTGAGTGGCTGGTGGATGAGGTTGATAGGCAACGAGTATTTTCCTTTCCCACTCACCCCTCCCCCCTTATCATCGCTTCGTTTGTCTATCCAACACCCTGTAAATAGAAAATTTCATTATCTTTCCAGACGTCCTCTGCTTCAAAGCCTGTACTGAAACTCTCTCTAGAATATCATTTTTGATCGTTCGTACTCCACCAGATATCTTTAGTGCCACTAAGACTCTAGCAACCAGCCCTGTTTCAAAGTCTGTATCAAATCACGTTCGAATGCATTTTTTTCAAAGCTCAATAATAAACTTTTTTATGCAAAAGTTTCATGTCTTCACTTTGTGGCGAATGTATGATACAACAAACTCTGCTGTGAATAACTTGCCAATCAGTGATTATTTCATGGGCCCAACGGTTCCTTAGTTTACTCGGTCAGAAATTCAGGAGTGGTTAACAAGGCATGGAAGGGCTACGTGGCATAGCCATGTACTTAGCTGACTGTTTGCAGGTTTTTTAGCCCTCCTTGTATCTTGGATCTCGCTGTGTTTTGTTAAAGACAAAAATTTATACCATTCATTGTGTCAGCTAAGTTTATGACACTTTTATTGTCTGAAAAAAGTTTAACTAAATTAAAGCAAACCCGCTGAGTCAAAGAAATCAATGTTAAGGTTGAGTTCAGTCAAGCGGTACATGAATGGAAACAGGATCATCGAGGAAGAAGTTAGCATTTTAGCGCCGGATAAAAAATCCAAACCATCTGGTAAAAATTTATTATGTGGGATATATTAGAAAGTATAACTACAGTCTTTCAGCTAATTTCCTGGCGAGACTGTCGTGACGTTGGCTAAGGGGTTGAATTTAAGAGATAAAGCTTTTCTACAAAGAACAACAGATTTATCCCTGATACTCTAAGAAAAGGTGATGAAACTATCTAAATAATCCGACCACGTGTTCTATTAAGCTGTTTGCAGATTTCAGCTGCTTCAGAGGCATATATCCAAGTACAAATGGTCGCCTTAGCAAGAGGCGGATAGCACCTTTAATTTAAGATTTGCGGTTACAATATCTGAATGATCGCATCTATGTCACAGCCATTCTGGCCCCAGTGTCAACACCATTGACGCTGCAAATGGATCAGTAGAAGTTAATTGGCGCATGTTTGAATTTCGGGCTTTAGTTTCATGCTTGGCCAAACACGTTTGAGAGCGCGTGCAATTTTCAACTAATTAAGAAAACTAAATGGCTTCTGTCTTTATTTGGATTTATTTATCATGCGGTTTGTGCGGCAAAAGAAACAAAGAGACGGTTTGCAAACTGTAGATATGTATGCAGCAATTAACACAACATATTGCGGAACGAACTAGAAAAATCTCGGTGGCTGTTTGTCAGAGCGGTAAGAAAATCTAAATTTGATCCAACCTTGGGATCTGTAATTTCTCGAATAACCAAATAGAAGCAGCAATTTAATTATAATTAGCATATTTAACTTTGTTTTCCAGAGTACCCACTCTGTGAAAAACACATGGTTAAAGCCGCAAGTGTCAATATCAAAGATCTTCTACCTCACAGAAAAGCAAATAATTACCACCGAAGGAGGTGTTTTGTTTGTCTTTCTTTTCAATTTGTTGGGGGCAATTCGAGCTAGACATTTCAGGCACACAACATGCACGTACAGCATTAAAATTCATTGTTATTCCTTCACGCTAGATAACCTCTCAATGTGTTACTGACATTTACAGTTCCTTTTATTCAAATCACTGTTTGGGTGGAGGCCTTCTGAGTTGATGGGATTCAGCGTGGAAGGACGATTGAACTTAGCGTGTGCGTATCAAATCTAGAATATTCTACTGTTGTGCTTCGATGAAAAGGGACCGCGGGACTATTATTTTGTGATCGAGGGCTTACTGGGTTGTCTGCGGATCCCATTATCAGCTGAGGAATGCATTTCCATTAGAAGGTGCGATGAAGCTGCGACATCGCGTCTATGATCAGCCATGGGAAAAGTGAAGTTGTTGGTGAACACAAAGTTGCTCTTCTGGTGTACAATCTGCTCAGCATTTTCTTTTAAGACAGAAGCAAATATTGCAGGTATGTGTGGAGTTTGAGAAATTAGTTTAGCGCCATTGAAACTTACCGGCTTTGAATCACATTTTAATGGCCTTTGGGGACTCACAACAATTATTTAATGCCAATCGGAGAATTTTACAAAAGTGTTCTATTAATGCTGTCTTTTGTACAAAAGCTTATACTAGTACTAACTCTAAAAAAAATATGGAAAAAATTAGGAAAAGCGGAATCTTGAGTACCGTCGTTATTTTAGGCCGATAAATCTCAAAATCGAGAAGGCCAAGACCATCGGAGTTACCATGCGGCCTTTAAGATTCTGAAAACCTCTTTTGATTTGAAATAGGTGACTTTGGACTTAAAATCCGACAAAACAGATTTCGGCTTTCAAAAGGTTGTTAATGCTATGCCCCGATGGCAAACATTCTTTTTGTGAAGTAATTTGCATTACATATACAATTGTATTGTGCATTTACACCCTTGTTTAGCAGTTCTTAACGGCGAGCACTTTATCTATTTTTGTATTGTTTAGTCAAAGTTTAGCCACACGCCAATCAGCGGTTTATTATTTATTCTCAATATCAGATAGGATTTTCATCCTTCAGTAATTTTACATCTAAACAGCTGCTACACAATAACAACGCATTAGAATTTCTCCTGAGGCATAAAAGAAAAAACAAGCCCTGAGCAGCGAATTTGATATCTGGCGAGTTTTCAGTTTCAATTTGCTCGGTTGGATCACAAATAACGAAGTCATTGCTTAAAATTTTCGGGAAATGCACTATTTGTCAAAATTTTGTCTCAGATTATCCAGAGAAAAAGCCAAGTGCAAGTTAATTAGCATACGAGTTTCCTTCTCAGAATCTGAGACGAATGATGGTATTAAATTAAAACTTTGCCAATCATTTCCCTATGTGTAAGTTTTCGCCCACAGTCTCTGTTTGTTTCGCCTTTTTATTTGACAACGCTATAGAAATGAACTGTTTCTCGGAAAATGAACAAAAGCAAATATAATAGAACCTCATTAAGGAAACGCCGGGGAAGGGGGGTGGGGGGTGGCTAAGGGATTGTCGAGGGGTTTTGCTCACGTCACGGTTAAATTTAGTCAATTCTCTCATTATTCTGTCTAATATTATCATGATTTCCCTCTCAATCGGCGATAAATTGGCTATCTATTTTCTACATTCTCCCTGCATACTTAGTTGGCGACGACTGATCCCCTTCCATTCCTTCTGAAATCCTTGTGACCACCTCCCTCATCCCCCCCCCCCCCAACCTCCGGCTCCCGTCAGGCAATAGATAATCACTGCTCCTTAAGGATGTCTCGTTTTCTTGAACTTAAATCCATTTCCCTTATGAAGCAAAAAAAATTCATCATCAGCTAACTTCCCTTCCCTTTTCTCAAACCAGTGTACTGTGTTTTGGTTCCCTTGGCATTTCCATGGAGTACCTCCAATGTATCATAAAATAACTTTTATATATTTGACATGAACGTGCTCATTTTGCAGTTTGTTCTCCATCCAACACCAGCATCGCAATTGATGCTGAGTCACCAGCCACGATATCAAAACCTACATTCCCAGATGGCTCTGGCAGAACTTCCTGCATCTGGCAAATCCAAGCTCCGGAGAACTTCCGACTGGCAATCACGATTGAAGCCCTGAATCTGAACGGTGCTGACGATTATTTGGCCATTCGTGATGGTGCGAGTAGATTCAGCCCTCTTATTGGCAAATATGGACCATGTGCAAAAGGCTCTCTTACGCTTGTGTCCAGTGGGAGATCAGCTTTTCTTCAATTAGAGTCAGCTGTGTACAAGAACACCGACGAAATAAAAATCTCATACAGTCCAACTGATCCTGGTAAGAAAACTCACCTATGCTTACATGCGAAATGGTTTGTGACAACCGGTTCTTTATTTATAATCAGTTTTGTTACCCATTTTTTCATATTCTTATATATCATTAAAACGCTGGTAATAGTAATAATAATAATAATAATAATAATAATAATAATAATAATAATAACAGATAGACTCCCAAGCATAGCTTTTATGCTTTTATCACTTGCTCTGTCGAAACTATTTTCCACGACTTATTGATGAGACACGACTTTAGCTTCAATCCTCCAAAGATGTTTATGTGAAAAATTATATTTATCTTTCCTTGGAACGTTTTTTGTTTGATTGTTTTGTTATTTTTCTTGAATTAACGCCTAGACGAATTGAAATGAGGAACTTGTTATGATATGTCGCCTTAGTGGAATCGAAGGTTTTGGTTTTGTCAGGATAAAATTTTTTTCATCTCCCCTTCATAAGGTCATGTTATATTCTTATCCTTCATTATTGGCATTTGAATGACAGTCAATTTTCTACAGTCCCCCTTTACACTCTGTTAGCGACGACTGATCTTTTCTCCGTCCCCCCTGAAAACCATGAATTTCCCCCAAAAAATCCTCTAACCGTCCCCCCCTTCCACCTCTCCACATTTACCCACCCCTCCCCTCAAGAGAGAAGTCATGACTGGTTCCTTATTTGATCGTTACTGCCATTTACTCACCAAATGAAACCGACTGACAAACGCCAACAGCTTAAGTTGGATGTTTAGAACTTTTCGTTCTGTCTTACCCTAATATGTTACTTTATTTTAAAACTCTTTTGATTGGCTGTTGAGGGAAAACTGGTTTTGACCTTAATTAGCTTACATGATTGGATTAAAAGCTATCCTGAATCAGGGAAAGCAGATTCAACCTATTCATCACTATATTTAATTGTTCCTTAATTACAGACGACGTCAACTGCGAAAATGGTAAAGATCCACCAGGTAGGTCATATCCTTTTTCAAATCTTTATCTCTCGATTTCCATGTGTACTTAGATTCGTCATCTAACGGGCCTTACTTACTACACGGCCTGGAAATTGCTGTTTTTCTTGCAAAAACTTACTCTTTTCATTTATCAACTTTGTTTCACCGTTTTCACGGCCAATCTGCTTAATTCAGTGGATAAGTTAAATTCCAGACCTTTCATTATCCTTAAATCATTTGTTGTCACGTGAGATGTTAACGAATGAACAACGATTTCGAAAAGAATTATTGACCAAAAGCCTTTCCGCGTGACCGAGAATCGTTTTCCGGAGTCGTCAAACACGCAGAAGATAGATAACAGATATCTTATCTTCCTGGTTCGGTGCAGAAAGTTATGGGCCGTCTAAAACTCTTTTCAAGTAATTTCCAACTCCCTTAGGGGTCCGTTCCTTGTTTGTAATACCAGAGAGTTGTAAGGAACTGTATGTGATGGTCCAGAAAGGGATCAAAAAATGGGCTCTTACTGACCAGAAGTGCTCGGCTAAGGGATGGTCAAACGAGCGAGTGCAATTGGTGATTCGCATGCTAAACTACCCTAATTTTGTTGTGTCAGGGTCTGTAACAATTCATGTCGTCTCTGTTGACTTTCAGACATATGTGGCATAAACACTGAGCTAAGAGGGCTCTCGGGTTTTATAACGAGTCCTAACTTTCCCAGCAATTATGACGCTAATGAAGTATGCTTATGGACAATTGTTGCTCCTCCTGGGTACCGAGTGCAGTTTTCTATTCATTTTCTTGGCATTGAAGATCACCGATATTCTCGCCCAGGAAGTTGTGGCGATGACAGCATTTCTGTCAGCGAGTATCGTGGGAACTCCACCAAAGACATCAGCACATTCTGTGGCTGTAAGAGCTTATTTTCATTTGTTTCCCAAGAGGAGAAAATGTTTTTGACATTCAGGAGTTATAAGAGGAACAACTGGCCGGGTTTTTATGCCAGCTACAAAGCTTTAGGTATGTAGTTTACAGAGAGATGTACCTGAACTAGCTCCTTTTTATCCACAATTTTGACAGCGTGTTTGAAACTCTTGTAAAGTTCCATAAATTGCAATTCATGACACAGAATGCGGAAAAAAAATGCATGTCAAACAAATTGTTGTGGTGGAAGGCTTAAAAAAAAGAAAAGAAACCTTCAATGGCGCTGCTCACTCCATTTTGGCGGGAAAAGGGTTGCCCTACAGGGTAGGAAGGCTATAAGTGATACTTTTGGCTATTCGACGGTTCTCCTGTAATCGGATTAGCTGCTTTATCATTCCACGGGAAAATTACTGTATCTCCTACTCAAGAGCACAAAAGCACCAGTAGGAAACCACGGATGAAATACGCTGTCTGCTATTTGGTATTTTAACTCTTTAAAAAATCAAATTGACTCTTTTCTTTGTTCTAACGCCTTCAGATAAGGTACAATATTCTCCATTTTCGCAAAGGAGACTCATTTTTTCTCTCCTTGTCAGGTATTGTTTTTATAATTACCTGGTACTCTTTATTCCATTTGGAAAAGGTATTTCAAAGCCTCCTTTCGTTCCTCACGCAAGGACATTGCTCATGATAACGAATAACTCTCAATGAACAGCAGTCATTTCGCCAACGAATAGTTTTGCTTCTCTTTCTTTGGGGAAGAGACCTAAAACGTTAGCGAACTGGTTGTCAGCTAAACGACCACAATTTATCTCAGTCAATCATTTGAATATATTTTTTAAATTCCCTTCAGCTCCTGATGACTGTCCTCCAGGTGAACTGGACTGCCCCCGAAAGGACGTTGAGCAGATTGCTTTCAATGCTCAAGGTCAGGTGTGCACAATAATACCAAGTGAGTGTCTTCCTGCTAACATTTGATATTTTCGTTACATTTCGAATTCGTTCTCTCGGTGAACATTCATGAAGCAATCTGGACCGTTCTACCATTTCAAATATGACTTTTCTTTCCATTATAATTTCATGTACCTTGAGGAAAAAAGCGAATGAGATACAAAGCCAGTCCCCCGGAAAACCTTTACTACTAGTCATTCAAACCATCCGGAAATTTTTCGCAACGTTAAACCTAATAATTTGGGTCAGAAATCAATATCGTTTCTTTACCAACTACATTTTTCTTTTTTCGGTCACTGGCCTCTTGATTATTTTAACTGTTTTTACAGGTGACTATTTATGTAGTTTAAAATGGTGCCATCAACAAATGCATTTAAAATTTCTTTATCTCTCGTTTCCTCTTCTCTCGAATCAACCTCTCCCAAGAAAACAAGAGCTCTCAAGTGGATGTAAAAAGGCCATCATCAGCCATAACGAGTTCTTCATCAAGGTCATCTGGGCTAGCTTCATCCAGAGCAACTTCGAAATATAGAACTTCTTCCAAAAAAACACAGGAGAATATCTACTCGTCCCCTCTTTCGCCCAGCTTTAGTTTATCGACAAGTCAGCCGACTGTGCATATACTGGTAACATCCCCCTTTTTGCTGAGATCAATGAAAAGCGAACACATCACCATTTCTGACAGCCTTTCAAGTTATTCGATGCATACTTCCATTCAAGCTGCCGTGTCTCCCAATAGGTCAGAAACCGCGTTTGGAAAGACAGTTGATGGTGATGATATACGTCCCATTGGCCAATTAAAAAATTCAAGGCATTTTTCGTTGTCTGTCAGTGACGTTGAGACAAGTCCTTTTATAACGTCATCCCGTGGAACAGAGGTTGTTGCATCGTCAGGCTTATATCAGAGCAAATCTAAAACGCGTGAGACCCAGAGTGACCATATCACACCGAGTAAAACAGGTGACTCGGCAGCATTTCGCTCATCAGAAACCACTCTAAAACAGCCAAGTACCCGAGACCCACCCATTACAATAACGGAAAACCCTTTAAGAGGTAAGGGAACCATAAATTCTATAGTTATGAGAAAATTTGATACAACCTGTATTTATAATTGTGGCATTCTCTATCCCTGTGTATTACCTTAGTGGACATGACCTCCATGCAAACCATTCATTACTTGCAAACGAGCTTGACGGATGGAACCTGGATCGACTAGCTTGTGTCAGAGGTCTGGTCGTTCCTTACGTGAGAAAGATACTGTGTACTAAGTATGCTATGTAACAACGTTTCGACTGCATAGTACCAGTGATCGCCTCATCAAGAGTCGCTTTTTACAGTAGAAACGTCGAGATACATATTAGTAGAGACCATTTAGTAAGAAAACACGATTATACCTAATATCTAAGTTTATTTACCACGATGACTTACTGCAAGATCTTACTCGATAGGAGAAACACTCTTTCCCGAATGAAACTTGTTGGCTCGGTGACATTGAGGGAAAAACGGGAAAGTGGTAGTTGAGTATGTCAAAGGAGAAGTTGCTCATTACAACCAATTCAAGTTTTGCTACATCATAGAAATAAACATTGACATGACTGGGAACCAGACAACTTATAAGCCCAAATTCCTGGATTTTAACTTGCTCTAAAGATAGCTCTAAATCGTTTACATCGTTTCCTGCAACGAGCCTCGCTCCTTAAGATATTATCTTACCACTGGCTTTTCTTAATTTTTTGAAAATCGTTTTAATCGCACAGGCTTGGCAGTAAAATGTTCTCAGATGGGCATGGAGGTGACCATATCAAGAATTCTGCTACCATATCTTGACATAAATTCGGTCCATTTAGACGATCCCTCATGCAAGGTCTCTTTCGTTAATAACACACTTGCTGTGTTGAGTGCTCCGCTGGAAGAATGTGGAACCCAGAATAGTGAATCATCAGACTACATAATCTATCAGAATACTATGACAGGAGATGAAAAGTCTTCTACTACAAACACTACTATTACAAGGGATGGAAAAATTAAATTTGAGTTCCAATGTTCGTTTAGAAAGCTTCAAGTCCTGTCCATTGTTTCGTACTCAACAAGTCGAAAGGTCATCCACGTTAAAGATGGTAAGTGTATATAATCCATAACTTTGTTTTAAACCCAAAACGTTTAAATTAAGAAGCTACATAGGGGTTTGGGTATAATTTATCGCCTGAGGGGCTAGGAAGATTCTTTAAATTTACCTAATACCCTCCTAAGGCTCTGTAGTGCTCTAATGATCCCTTCACTGGCAGTAAATGTTCAACAGTCCTCCCTTTATACTCTGTTAGCGATGACTCATCCCTCCCCTCCCCCTTTCCCATTGAAAACCACGTGATCCTCCCAGTATTATAATTACCGGTCGCCTAGCATATATTACTAATCAGTATAATATTACTATACTTGGCCTCTTATGGCTCTTTTAGCTATGATGGATTGGGATCTAAGAGGTGGCCATTCGCGTCACCTTTTTTGATTTGCCTACGCGAGAAATGAATAGTCTCGCAAAACCCAGATTAAATTGGCAATTTACTCCGATATAGGTGACGGTGTTGGTAACTTCACCTTTGAAATGAATATGTTTGAAGATTCGAAGTACAACATAGAGGTCAAGCAGTACCCCTTGGTCGTGTATCCTGGCCAACCGATGTACTTGCAGGTCAATGTCCAAGCTCTTGATCGAAACCTTTTAACTTTCTTGGAAGAATGCTGGGTCACACCATCGACAGATCCTCGTGACAAAACCAGGCATACGATTATCCAACACGGGTATGTGTTTTGCTTGTAGACCTGAGAAATAATAAGGAAACAATACGAGTAAACTAATTTAATCGAGAACGGAGGATTTTTATTGTATCGTAGTTTTTATGGAAAATGAGCTAGTAAAAATCTCACAATGGATAAAGTCAAGATCTAATGTCCTATCCCCGAAAGGAAATAGCATGTAGAAATGGGAAAAACTAGATGGAAAAAAATCAGCAACAACGTTTGGTAATGTCTCTACAGACCCTATGAAAAAATCAAGCTAAACACAGTTCACTTTAGATATTCTATCAACTTTTATTTTCAATTTCAGCTGTTCCCGTGATTCCACATTGCAGTACGATTACAAAAAATCTCCTATGCAAAATTTCACCTTCAAAGCATTTCAATTCCGCGAAGTCCCCTCTGAAAGACTTTACGTGCATTGTCAAGTGGTGACTTGCAGAGAGTCGGACACAGGTTCGGTCTGTGATAGAGGATGCATAAAGAACGGAAGACGTAGGAGAGAAAACAGAGCTTTCATCATGGACAAAGAGGTGTTTTTATCACTGGGGCCTGTTAGTCGTCAGGAACAAGACAAAGGTGAGTATAGGGGTAGTAGTTTACATGACACCATGGAGCCATAAGGTAGCTTGCATGGTCGTGTCCCATTTCAAGAGCATTTTTTTACTTTTTGGATGATCCTGTTGAGCCTTTCATAGCCATCCGCCAGTTATAGACTAAACAGGTTGATTTTTTAGTTACTCCAAACCCCCTCGTAGCCTGCAAAGCTGTCGGATTTCTGTGGGCCTGCCTTAGGGTGTTAGGCGGGGATACCTAAAGGGGTTCTTAACGGTAGACAAAAAATACTTTCCTAAACCGCTTCCATCGTCTTTCAATTTCAAGCCTTTCATCGCTGATTAAATTCCCTTCCCTTTTCTTTTCAAATCAACAGCGTCAGAGCACCACGATCTCCTCGTTTATGTCAAGGCCCTGGCTTGGATTTTTGGAACCTTAGCCGTAATTCTTGCTACTGCAATGATAATTTTGATCCTTAAAAGAAGAAAGCGTAACGAAGACAAAAACAACGCCCAGATCCTATTTGCTCTCAGAAAGAACGGTGCACAGGAAGGAGAGGAAAAGCGCGCACTCAGAACATCCCAACAGGATACAGGAACTTGAATTTGAAACTACTTAAGATGATTAACAATTTTATATGACCAAGGTCATATTTAAAAGCTCAAAATTTAGACCAGAGCCGCGGTTTTTTCCCGAAAAGGATGAAACTGGACGTTGCATTGTTTTGAGCTCAGAGGATCAGAGAGACAAAGCTTTTAAAGCTTTCGTCACATATCGGTCGGGTTATTGTTGGTCAGCAGACTTTTCGTTGGCAACCAATTTATTTAGTGTTTCAGAGTTAAAAACCTTTTTATTCAAGATGAGCGAATTCGGCATTTAAACAAAAAGCTTGTAAAATTGTAGTAAGTATCAGCTAATTCAGTTCTAATCTTTTAAGGAATAGAATGACTTTAAACGAAGACTCAATAATAGTCTCATACAGTCTTACAAAATGATGCAATACCCATTAGGTCGTCAAGTTATGAATAAAACTTTATAGATCGTAAACAAGCAATAATCTATCGCTTCCCTAGACCTTTACTCTGAATACACGATGACGACTGACCTGCGTGGAGTGCATTCTGATCAGAAATTATGTGTGATTTGAAATCACAAGTATGATTTCAGACCCATATATCACGACGTGAAGTTAAAAAGCCACTTTACCTCTTCCATTTTGAAATCGCAATATCCAATCTCTCTAATAAAGGATTTTTAGTGTTTTTTATTGATTCAGCACTGAGCTGGTGTGTAAAAAGTTACCAAGGTCGTCTTTCGTTTTTCTACAATCTGATTGGTTTCTTTAATCAAGCCTTCAAATCTGATTGGTTGATGCGTTTAAGTAAAACTTTATCATTGGCTGGAAAAAGATGCGATTTGGAGCAAAAAGTGGTGTGATTCCGAATTTATCGAACTAATGGCGCATTTTCGCGAATTTGACAAAAAATATCTTGCTGTACCCTGCCCGTTAGTCACTGAAAGTTACTGAACCTACTGCTGAATATTTCTCCACACTTTTTATGCTGACATTTGCGAGAAAGAACTGCCAAGAAATTGGTCACAAGTAATCACCGTGAAAATTCCTAAGAAGATAACCTAAGAAACCAAAGTACTTTGGGAGAGGTCTTAAAATTCTTCAGTTTTCTGTATGGCATGGCGATTGGGACGAGAATGAGCCAAATTTTTTTTTCTTCCACAGCGAGAAAAACTCTAACAAATCATAACTCATGGTCAATGTATTTTGAAAGTTCATTAATTTTATTCCACAGGCGATCGAATTGTATATACGAATCATGATGAAGGAAAATTTCATATCATTTTAATTATTATTTTCAGTGGATGATCCACTTCACAAATTCATCTGTTATCGATCGCCTACTGTATTATAATTGGTAGCAATGATAACTAAGTCTAGTACATTTCGGTAAAATCTAACCGACAGAAAAACACTACAATCCCAAAAACTAAACTACTTTATTAAACAGCGAGTAATGTTCTTAACAAGGATCGACTCCTTAAAGCAGTACAATACTTGTCGTTAATAAACTAATCAAGCCCACTACAGTCTATATCCTAGCTCACCACTGACAAAATCTCACTGCTGTCTCCAAAGTTCCTTGAGGTGAGCTATCTTCCGCTTGAGCTAGCTTTCAAAACAGTCGTCGCTCCAACAACAACAACAACCACTGCTACTGCTACATAAGTGAGTCTTTATATATATTCGCAAAGTGTTCTGGAACATTCCAGAAGCTTACATAAGAACTATTTTAGTAGTATTACTTAATAAATGCGTGACTTGATGAAATGTTCTGGATAGTTTTATGGCATGCAAGTCAGCATGACTAAGAAATCTGGAAATCTCTCGAAGCTTATATTTACAACAATTACTCATAACAAATAAATTATTATTTACAGAACGGATCCTTTTTCTTTATTCACTTCTTTCGGGTGGCTATAAAACCACGATTACTTGATTTAAATTGCACTCGGAATCAGACATTCGATCACCCATACTAGCGAATAAAAGAGACTTCACAATGTTAGAAACGGCAGTAACTACATGTTAAAAATTGCTGTAAGACCTCACGCAGGGGGGACTCAGACGACCGCCTCAATTGTAGTCAGGCATCAAATAAGTCGGTAGTCCGTTTTCCATTTACTTTAAAGAAAACCAGAACCAAATATCTTACGTAAACTACGTCACTCACAATTAAGAGATCACTAGTAAATACAATCGTGTTGGGTGCTTTTTTTAAAATCTTGCCGACAGAACTGACCATTTTGAAGCGTAGAAAGTAGAGCTCATACTATGTTAAAAAAATGAAAATCTTTTGGCATTTGGGACATTCAAGTAATTGTGCTTTTTATTTGATGTGGTATGGTTCCCGTGACTAAAGTGAACTTTTGTGGCATAATCAAGATGCTATTTCTCTGAGCGTGGACGTTCTTTTGATACCAGTGGTGCCTCGCTAGTGGATACGAGCTGGTACGTGGATGTCCTTCACAGACGCTGAAAGACGACGGTATCTATGCCAGTTCTTTCTAAGAATTAATATTCAGTATTATGATATGTAAACCAGCGGCCCAGTAGGAAATCGGAAATTGTCTCATCTTTACTCTAAGAGCCACTTTGACTGTCATAAACTAATTTTACTTTGGTGAGTTTCAAGGCAGTCTTGTATGTTGACATAATTCTGCAAAAGAGAGCAATGAAGAAATTTATAATCGAAAGTGAAAGGAAAACTCGTCAAAAGCGTCTTTCCAAGACCTTTTCACTGCTGATAGGACATGCCCGCAATAGGAAACAACTAACTTCACAAGAAACTGCGACACTGATTTGTCGCCAGGAAGGGTGTGTCCCAAATTTTGCAGTTTTGTATGCAAGTATCCCGTAACTCGTATTCCTGAACACGAAAAATGACTTTACCACTCGTCGATCACTTGCAAGATCATAATCCTGGGCTCTGATTTAAAAGATAGTTACTCAAGCGGACCTGTAATACGAATAACATTTGTCACAAGAATTCAAACCTGATTAGCCTTCAGTAATCCTCTGATGGAAGAGCGCAATGACTCAAATGACGGTCTTATTTCAGGGTCTGTTTCCCAACAATTCAGCATGATATTATATCTGAAGAATTCCAGTATTTTCTATGGTTAGCACTCACAGAATACAACATTACCAACGGTAATAAAATTTTAAAATCAACATGATGTCGATTTAATTTCCGCGCATCGCCCTGACTGCACCTTATCCCTTTCACACGGCAGATATAAATGGATCAATAACTACATTACAGCTAGAGAGCAGGCCGAGGGTAAACTCCGACTTCTGCACTGCATTTGGTTTAGTTTCTTTAAAGTTTTCTCCTTTAACTTTAGGTTGCGAAAGTTGTAGCTTCAGGTCTGGGTTTTTCAGAGTTCAGTTGGATTGCGATACAATGCATTGGGGGTGAACTTAGAATACCTTATGAAAGAACTTTTACCACTATGACATTGATAATAACTGTAAAGGGGTTAGGAATTACTTACAACTCATCCTTAAAATAATCAGGTTTAGGAATTCTATACCCCTCTTGTAATACTCTTGGAATGTCATACGGACTTATTCCTGGATAAGGTTCAGCGCCTAAAGTGTGTAAGAATTTAAGATGACACTCACAATAATATGATGACCAAAGAGTCTCTTAACTTTACTTGATAACTTTCCTCGAGTGATGGAGGAACAAATTACGATTCCCCGTTTTGGGTGAGAAACACTCAAATTGATAGAAAACTGCATTATCAAAAAATACTATCATCATTGAGAAAGCAAGCCATAGCGATTGAATATATGCACTGTGTTTTAGAGACACTTATCTCTTATTCCTGGTCTGTTAAGAATACTAACGTCTTACGATTTTCTCTACTTCCGACTGGAATCTGAAAGTAAATGCACTATCCTAAATAGTTTCATCAGTGCCTGTCACGGAAGATCAGCGGTATTCGTATATTCTATGCATTCTTAAACCTTTGTCCAACGCACTGTGGGTGCAGTATGCAAGACCTACCAATGGTGCAAATCTCGTATAGAACGATTCCAAAACTCCACCTAAAAATTCGAGAGTAAAAAAAACGTTTAATATTTTCTCTCTTAAGATTTAAGATCCCCTCGCCTTATTCTAGCTAAATTGAGCCGTCAGATTTTTCGATTTTACTTTTTTTTTTTTTTTCTTTGAAAGAGGAGTTACGCGTTTCAAGTTTGCAGTTTTATCTATCTCAACTTACACGTCACTTTTCGTTGAGTACTCCATCCTTCCAGACATTGCTTCAATTGCTGTCCATTTAACAGGAATTCGGCCCTGTATTGATAGAAGTTTGCGAGGAGAAGCCTTCATTTTCTGAGGATACATTCAATTTTCGGTGATCCCCTTTTGGAATAGCTGGGCTATTTAGTGTTTTCTTCTTCTTTTCTTTTCTCTTTTTCTTCTTCTTTCTTTTTCTCTCTTCCTTTCCTTTCTTCTTATTTTTTTACCTTTATTTTTTTCATAATGATCGAATCTCAAATTGCGCTAGTTTCTAAGACATCGAAGGACTCTAGCACATCCATCTCGATCCGTCGGTTATAAAGTAAATTATTCAATAAATCATAAATATAGAGAAAGAGAGTGAAAGGCAGACGTATGATCTGCAGACCGGGGTGTGCTTACATCTCTCATCACTTCATCTTTATCTAAGTTCACACGGTCATTATATTCAAAATATGAGTCAAGGTGGATGTCCTTTCATTATTGAAACAGTTTGGGTAGGATAACAACTGAGAAATGAAGCTACCTGATTACGTGGTACATAAATATCTTTCATATCAGCATCGCGAGCCATTCCAAAATCTGTAATCTTGCATCTGAGGTTATCACCAACTAATACATTCCTTGCTGCTAGGTCTCGGTGGATGATCTAGTGAAAGAAAACAAAAACAAAAACAAAACTAAACAAACAAAAGAGATTATGAATTGAGGATACAAGGGGATGTTGTCATAAATAATTCTCAATTGAAAACACGCACCCTTTTAGATGAGATATACTGCATGCCGTCAGCTATCTGCCAGGCGAACGTTATGATCTGCTCTGAAGTTAGGTTCGTCGTTGGTTTTATCTCGGGATATTCGTAGTAACAGTCGTGCAACCCTCGACTTCTCCGAAGATAACCGAGAAGATCTCCGTAAGGTACATACTCAATGATTACATATGGGGTTTCTATAGAATGATAAAACTGCTTTCAAAATATACATTTGCAAAGCATATTCAGAGACAAAGGTTATCTGAAAAGAAAGATTTTGTTTAGACAATGTTTGATCTTTCAAGGTTGAATCGTACAGTGAGTAAACTGTTCGGCGCAAATGAGATACATGGTTGACTACGAAATGATCATATGATCGTAACAAGCGATCAGGAAAAACTCACTTTTTCAAACTTTTTAAGGGCTTGCTTCTATATCAACGCATGGCTTTTTGAAGAGTAAAGATACATCTACAATTTGCTCCTAAATCAAAAGATTTTTAGGAAATAGACGCATTATCCTTTTGCTCTTAAAAATACTCAAAACTCGGTCATTTTAGTTTGAAAGTCACTTTTCCTGAGCGATTTTCTAAAAACCATCATCACCCACGAAAAATCAATGCACTGCAAATGGCAAATCAATGGCCGATGAGAATCTGTATCCTTTTCAGTTCGAAAATTTTAATACTAACACTATTTACATAAATAACTTAGAAAACTAAAATTACTAATATTTACCACAATAATGGCACTGCTGATAGAAAAATGATTAATTTACAATGCAAAACAAACATTTGAAGAAAAAAAATGAAAATTGTTTCACGGGCAAACATTTTTAAATTTACTATACTTCATGCATTATTTATATGCCTACGTGAGTGGAAGGAGTAATCAATAGGGTAATCAGTAAATATCCTTAAATTTGTGTAAAAATAGAAACATTAAACTGCATGAATGTTTGACGTGATCAATTATACATGTAATTACCTTTTTCTTCTGTGATGCAACCCAAAAGTTTTATTACATGTGGATGAGGTTTCAGCCTCTTTAAAAGGTTTAATTCAGACAACAGATCTTCTCTTTCACTTTCCTTCGCATCCTCTGTTGATAAAAAGAAATAAGGAACCTTTTTGGCTAAAGGAAATTACAGGGGACGGAGATAAAGTTGAACCCTGCAGTGGAGGCCTTAGGCCAGGTACTGAATTGCCTTAGCTTGTCGCAGATAAAGGGAAAACTCTGTTTCTCTCCTTTGTTCTTTCTTTCTTTTATTCTTTCTTTCTTTCTGGCCTCTGTGTTATAAGGATTATTTATCTATTCTAATGGTATTAATGGCTCAAATGTGATTTTTTTCACATAATTTGGATCATTTTTCCCCAGAGATATGAATCGAAGAGCCTGCTTAAATTTTCGTCCACGTCCCTCCACTAATCTTGTAGCTTCGTATTAGGTAGAAGCGTCCAATTATTAACTGGAAGTACGACTTCAAATCCCGTCAAAAAATGAACTCTTTCGGGCTTATCTTTGAAATTTCTTTAATTGCGTTTCATTTGCAGGGAACAAGCATCTCTTTTCCTCTTAAAGTTCCTCATCTTTAGATGAACTACGATTTGTTTTATGCAATTTAGACAACTCATTTTTTTGATCGATCCTTGTGATTTACATTATTACTCGTAAAGTGTTACCCTGCAAGCTTTTTACTGCCACAACTGTCCATTCTGAGTAGCCCTGCAGATATCGAGCGTAGGCTTTGGAGACCACTCCAAACGCACCGTGGCCAACTACTCTATCAATCTCCAAGTCTTCCTTCCGAAACTCCCAGGACGGAACCGGATCCATCGGCACTCTATTGGAAAAAGTAGAGAAATTATGACAAAGGAAACTAGTACCCCATTCACACCAGCAAAACACGTTTAGTTAAACCGTGTTTAACTGAAGGAAAATCAGAACCAATAGGCTACATTTGAAGTTGACAAACAATTGTCTAAGCAGCTTCTATGAAGAAAAAAAATTAAACCGTGTTAAACAAAGGAGCTTTAAAACATGTGTAAGCTTTGGCAGTGGTGAATGGGGTATAACTTAATGATAATTAAAGAATTAAAGCTTTACTCGTTAGTCGTAATTCTTATACTAACGGTAGAGGGTCTGATTTCTGAGAAGGAATGCCCTCGGGAATTCGGAGCATACAGGGAAAAGGAACTATTTAAGGTTGATACTATAGCTTGACGTTGTGATGTAATCATTGGTTACTTAGTGATCTATCAGCTTTTACACACAACTTGATTAGAAACCACTAGACACTTACGTTTCAGCTTCTACCCGCTGGTATTGCATTACTGTTCCATTCTCGTTTGCTGAGATTTCTTTCAATAAGAGCAAGAGAAAGTATAATTATCAAATAAATAGCATTGTAGAGATCCAATCAGATAATAGAGATCTCCAGCAATTTCAAAATGAGTGTAATAAACATCCTGATGTACTGGGCAACATGGAAACCACGAGGAGTAAATCAAAACGAAAAAGGGAAAGTTGAAAATCTTAACTACTCACGTAGGAAAAAGTTACTCACTATTCACTCCAGTTCTCCTTCGGAGCTTGGAAGTCACAGCCCAAAGAAATGCAGGAATGGCAAGGACTGACAGGTAAGGTAAGTACTCAACCCCTAATTCCCACTTTGACTTCGCGGAGCCGGCTTTCCCTATAGAAAAATTAGGTAAAACAAATACATGCAACAGGAAACGAAATTGAGCGTATAATCAAAATTTTTTAATACACTGCTCTTTAAATGCACTCGATTTCTTCAGATTTCTGTGGTGAAGGTAGTGAGAAATAGGACTTCGTTCCGGCACCAATTCACTCTAAATACGATAAAATTCCCGCAAAGTAATGGAAGGTGCTCTTTGCACAGCGAAGACGTTGAGAGAGAACAGATTGCCTTTTTTTGATGTGATTCTTGCCTCAATTATCAAATCAATAGTGGTTTAGAGTGGTCTGTACCCTTATCGACAACGATAATGGTCATCACACTGATCAAAATGTTGTGGACCAACGAGGCACAGCCACGCCAAACCACCGTCGGCATTGCGTCACACATTGACGCGAGCAGCGTTGTCTCTACTCTTATCGAGAACTGTGGGTAAAATGAATTTCCGCGCGAAGTGGACGTTTTAAAGTTTGTGGAAATGAATGTTTATACTGTATTTATATTTCTTCATATTGGAATAGTTTACCGAGCGTAATTTTCTGAAAATTTATTCTGTCGGGTATTTGCATTGAGCTTTTGCGGAATTTTAGGGGGGAACACATCTTCGACGCTAACAATATCACATATTAAGAGACGATACAAGAAAGCATACCATTTGACACCAAAATGTTTGAATTCAAAGTTGTTACACTTCGGGCTGTTGCATTTTCCAGGACACCTGCATGGCAAACAATTAGCGCAATATAGTTTGGTGTCATACTAATAATATTTAATAGAGATATAAATAGAAATTGGCCACCGCAGATTATCTCAAGTTAATCCAAGATTTTTCCGAGCTGACGCAATATACCATGTCATATTTGTGACTGAAAATGATTACAAAGTGACGTTCAGAGAACTTCAAGCCCATATATAAACAGTTTTTGTTTTCTACTTTTACTTTAACCATTATCCTATTCGTAAATTGATCATTTAGCAAGTACGAGAACATACCTATATTTTGTTGTGTATTCATACCTTCCAAAGGATTTAGAGAGGATAATTCTAAATGCTCGCAATTTTGATTGACAAAGATGAAATAAACCGTGAAGTAACCAATACAATTAACGACATCGAAAAATAAGTTGTTTTTATGCAGTACAACCCCGCTTACTCGAACAGGGGTTAACTCGAATTTCCAGTAACTTGAACAAAATGCGATTCCCCTCGACCTCATTTTTGCAGTCATTTACTACCAGCTGGCTCAAACCTCCGCTTATTCGAGCCACTTTTTTTTCTCCGGAGTCAGCGAGGTTCTAATGTTGTCTCATGTATGTATAGCATAAAACAGTAGGGGAAAAACAGGAACGAACAAAACCTACAGAACAAAAAAATTAACACAACAAATAAGTTTATCGAGCACTTACTCTTAGGGGAAGCAGTTGCTCCTGAAATTGAAAAAAAAAAGAAAAAACTCAGTGAAATAGTATTTCTGCGCAAAGTATTGGCAACTGCGCATAAGAACGTGTTTTACAATTAAATTCGATAACCAAAGATAGTCAAAAGTCAAGAGTGTACCTTTGAGAACTGTGACCCTTGCTGCTGTTCTAGGATCAAAAGAGCTCTGACCCTTCTTATTCCAAGCTGTTACCATAATCTCGTATGTCAAGCAGCAATTCAGTCTAACTGAGTATCTGTTTTGTGTAACATTCACTTTAGACCATTTTTCCCGAAGTAATGGGCGATACAACACGGTAAACATAGTTATATTGGCTCCATTATTGTCTTTAGGGTATTCCCAGGTGCATAAAAACCTCGTGTCATTGATGTCAATGTCGTGGAAAGGAAGTCTTACTACAGCTGGAGGTCCTGCAAAAAAAAGAGACACAAATCAAGACAAAAATTTTGTTTTGTCAACTGAGTTGACAAAATCTTTCATTGGAGCGAATAGAGGAATCACGGGTTTTGTTTGGTTTTCAGGTAAGCTATTGCTGAAAAAATGGTAACATGAAAAACACGAGAAAAATTAGTTGAACGAAAGGCGTTCGGAGAAGCCCATATTGTGCTCGTGGCGTTCGTTGATACCGTGGGGATTGAAAGTGCAGATGTAAAGGATAAGTTTTTGTTCTATAGTTTTACGGTTAAAGTTTGATCCGAATTGCTATGAAAGACATCACTGTTTTGAATGCCCGGAAAGTAGACGAAAACAAATTCAGGCTTCTGTAGCAAAGAAACAAGACAGGAAACAATACACACTTCTTCGCGGGAGAAGACCATAGCCTAATTGGCATTGCAGGGAAACTATCGGTATTCGCCTTTTAAGAAAATCGTTCAAATTGACTACTGTAAGGGGGTTTCTATGCTTTAAAACTCTTTATGGTGGCCAAGTTACATTACCAACTTATAAATTGATAAAACCAAATCATTCCCAAGGACGGAGAAGCGCACAGTTAATATAGAAACTTACCTCCTTTTAATAATGGAACAAATGTGCTCGATGTAGCATTGGGAGTATGGACCCATATGGAAGAGACACTCAGTTCAGGTGTCTTTGATGTATTTATCGCCTGTGGGAAAAAATTAAATCAATACAGCTACATGTGAGTATTATCAGACAGACAGACATCATGTTTAACACCAAGGTAAGCTTTAAGAACAAGTTTCAAAGCAGGTGAAAAAAGAATGCTTAAGGGATGGTATTTTTCACACACTTTTCAGATTCTTTTCATGGGAACTTAAATAGACAGTTTTCTAAAACATATGAACTTTTTGATGATAGAAGCGTTAAAACCGTGTGGAGACTGTGCCTAAATTTTGAGCGCACTTTCAAAACCTCCTCGTCAGAAAAATTTTGCGCTGCAAGTTTTAAATTGCCACTAAAAACACGAACATGGAAAGTCAAAGAAAAAAAAAACAATTTGACCCTGAATTGCATAAGAATTACCCGGAATACCGCTGCCACGAACAAGGTATCCCATAACAATTTTTTCACTTGATCCCAGCTTTCCACATGAAAATGAGGGGTCATTCCTTGGGGCAAGTGAGTGGTCGTGTAGATATGTACGATTGCGCCTTAAAGGCTTAGCAAGGGAAGGTCCAATCGTACAAACACCCAGAAGCGCGTTAAGGTTTACATCAGAATCTTACCTGGACATTTAAAGTGATCATAGAATGAATTGTTCGTCGGAAACCTCCCACGTCAATTTGACATCCGTATGTGTTGCTATCCGAGTAAGTCAGATTCTCCAACTTATAGGCCAAATACGATTTTAATATGTTTCCTGCCCAAGTGACTCGCCCGACGTAACTAGGAAGTTTCTTGCTCAACTGAGGATTATGAATCACTCTTCCCTCCTTGGTTACCGTCATAAGATAATGCGTGGTATACCCATTCACCCAAAGACCAAAAATGAACCCTGTTAGTTCTATTTTGTCCTCATCTTGAAGATGAAAATCCCATTCGAAGAGAAAACTTGCCCCCTCTGTCGTTGTAGCACTGGATTGTCTCGGTTGGATGGTGCTTAAACCTTGTCAGAATAGAAAATAAAAGGCTACTATATTTAACGTTGTTTCGGTACACGTAACTTTTCTCCCCTATCCAATCAAGTTTGTTTGGGTCATTTACCTAAGACATTTTTTATAGTTTTAATAAACAGACTATTCTTGGGGGAGTCATGGTTCAAGGCTATTAGAGAGTAACTTAACCTCTTTCTTCCACTTTTTAACTCGTGAATTGCGTGGATGCGTAAGAGCGAGTTGTAGATATGATGTGGAGAATGGCACTCGCTCGCTCGTTCGCTCGATTGGTCGATTCCTGTAAACTTTTTTCGATTTTAGGCTTTTGAGTGCATTTGATAGTTTTTGGCGAGTAATAAACAAACGAAATGGCGACCTTTGTTGCTTAGAATAGTGGTGAGGTGAAAAAGAAGCCAATGATAATCTTAACAAGCGGCGCCAGCGACTGGCAAGCGTGCGAGGATTCACACTGAAATAAGAGAACCTTCGTTTTTCATAAAATTGTAATTTACAATCCTTGAACTTGAAAATGATCTGAAGATTCATTAAAAATGTCACTTACTCCAAAGCGCTCGGAGTTTACAAGTGTTCAAAAGCTTTTTCTGTTATGGCGTGAGATTGGGGACAAAATCGATCATTACATTTCGTATCGTGTGTTTTTTCTGTGTGACGCAGCTAGAGGTGCCGGCGACTGACGAAATTACAGGTTAATACGGAAATCAAATAACACCTAAACAAATAATTTTGGCTACACTGAACACTATTAGCGAACACTGAACTGCTGCTCGTACTCTAAATATGACAATCAACCACAAAATTCCCTAAACCATAAATTCCCTAATCCAAAAAAACACGTAAATCATCTGTCAATTCACGAGTTTGCTTACAGAGCACTTTGATTTGATTTCCGAGAAGATCATGTTTCCGGAATTATCTCGCCATAGAGCTATGTCGACCATGAACGAAAGCAAAAATTATAATTCAAATACAGACTGTATTCATTGAAGAAAGTCAAGGCTATCATTTAGAGGTACGAGCGGCATCAAATCAAATCGAAGTATCTGAACCGTGAATTGTTCTTTAAGTGATAACTTCAAGGCATCAGTCAGTGAATATGTCTGACTAGTTGAACCAACTCTCTGTCGATATTTAGTCAAACACTATTCAGATCTACAGCAACATCTTTACAGAACCCCGACACGCGCTAATGCCATCAATTATTTGGAGGAAGTCGCAAAAACACACGTTCAAACTATCCTTGAAGGATAAGGAAACCAACATACGAAAAAACCGAAAGTTTCTCTTCTTGTGTTCAACTCGTCCGCTACGCTCACTCGTGAGCTATCGAGTTGAAGAGTCGAGGAGAAATTCCACATCAGCACGCGCCTATATTACTCTCTATTTATATTCATAGTCGAACATGAAAAGAATAGGAAATATTGCGACTAAAATTCATGTCTCACCAAAGCTAAATCTAAACTATATGTGTCGCCGTCGCTTCCGCCTTTCGCTAAACCAGCAACTTCACATGATGTGATTCCCCTAATACCCCTAAAAAGCGTGCGAGGCTTGATTGAGGTTTTTATATGACTAAACTAACCTGTTACCAGAGCTGGCACGAAACATATAAAGAATGGGATGTAAAACTCGATAATCTTCATTCTTGATGCTCCTTAACTTCGTGAAGTAACGATCGTTTCTTAGAATAATGACATTCACCCATATCAGTTTCGACGTATCTGTTTTCCGAGAAACAAATGAATACTCACGCAGCAAGCGCTGTCTTGTTCTTGATATCTCAGCTTACTTGACAATAAGAAAGCGATCGATGAGCCGAGAAAAGCATAGAAAGAAGTTAAGTGGTGTATCAAGATAACAATATTATGGTAATTGATATTCAAAAATATAAACTCAGGAGTTCTGTTTTGATTTGCTAATTTTTTTCGTAGCCGTCTTTTCGCTTGTCACGCATCGATGAGCTCGTTGCGTGACTAGCCTGGTGGACCACTGGAAAGGAAAAGGCACGAAGTTTGTCGAAAGACTTGAAAAAAAAAACCAAAAAAAAAAAAAAACAAACAAACAGTCGATATTACGAAAATATTTGTCGGTGGCTTACTCTCAGCTACTGTGAACAGCGATATTTTTAAATCTTGAGCCTCGATCCCTAATTAGACCCATTTCCTGTCCTTGAAATGAGGTCGAACTCGAGAGCAAAAAAGTTGACAGAATTGCTCCTCAGTTCCTCCTGGGTTTTTATCCCCTCCCGCCCTCACGGATAGAGGCCATTTTTATAGGTTGACCAGGAGTGGTACCCTTGAATGTCGTAGTATTTACGATCGTCTAACATATCATTGCTTGTGCTTTCCACCATCTATGACTGATGAATGCTTCGAAAGATAATGATGTTATGATTAAAAGACTGACAGGTAAGTGAGATGTTTGACGGAACGAAAATAAAGCCGACCCTTGGCCCACAGACCGCTGAGTGCAAGGTTTGAGCAAAAACAAAAAAAACAAACAAAAAAAAAAAAACTTAACCAGTTTACTTTTTTCGACGCCGACCTGTTTTATTTCCCCTTGCTTGACGTTATCGCGGGATCCCTTCACTAAAAATGGTACAATCCACTTTCCATTTTACTTTGCTATACTTTCAAACGTAGCGTACTCAACTTGTCAAACAAGTTTTTTTCGAGTACAAAATAACCAACTGTCCAAATAATCGAACACGGTAACGGGCGTCAACATTAATATGCTCGAATTTGATGTGTTCCAAGAGATTATAAACTGAGATTCTATCAGTGGTTCCTACCATCCCCTATTATGGATTTTTCAAGTCCTATCAGTTCGATTTCATCTGTTTCTCGCTCAAATTAGGGTTAATCGTGCTCGTGATTTCTAATTAGCCTCGCGCTATGCGCTTGTCCAATTGAAACTCCTCGCCCAATTACAGCCTTTATCCCATCCATTTTCAAATCACTCGTGATCCTTGCAATCTGTTTGGCTGTCTCCAGTGTATTTTATTTTTTATCAAATTGCATCATTTTATGCTCTTAATGACATTTTTTCCCCAGCTTTATTAAAACATGACGACCAATCAAATTTCAAGGTCTGTTCAAAGAAATCAATCAAATTGCAAGAAAATGACACCTTTGCGACTTTTTATAAACCGGCTCGATGTACTGTATTAAAATATTTGAACAGAATGAAAATAACCTTGTATTGCCTTGCTGAATTTTGCTATTTCAAAATAGATGTAATAAACTGCTAATTAAACTTCGTGTCTTGCAATTTTGATATGAAATCATCCTTGTGATTTCATTCAAACTCGCGCTGCGAGTTTATGAAATCACACGGATGATTTCAGACCAAACTGCACTACACTCAGTTTCATTATCAATAGAAATTGCAGTTCACTAAGCCCAATTATCCATGCATATTTGCACCTACCTCGCGTATTATTTGTATTTTCCATAGTGAAAATGGATAATGTAAGACGAGAACAAAGAATACAAATTGTTCAAAATCTCTTGACGAGAGCTAATGAACAGATTACTAACTACAGACGGGTAAAAAAAACCCCGGCATTTCACACTTTTCTCAAAACATTTGGAAAATAGAAGTAAAATAGTTAGTTACAATTTAGTTTTTTTGCACATCTCCTTTGCATAGGAAACTTCGCTAGAGCCTGATTAAATTGCCGTCTTGCCGATTTAAAGCAGTTTTTCTTGCGAATGCAATAGATAATTACAATTAACAATATTATGAACACCAGAATAGGTAAGACCACAATTAAAGCAATTAGCAATCCAGAAAATGTTGAACCCCCTGAAAAACAACACAAATAAATAAATACATGATTATAACATAGCCAGTAAATTTGTCTAATCAAATTCAATCGCGCGAGCGTGCTTCTTATTCTTATTGTGCACGCTCATGACGTCAGCAAACAAATCCCTCGCGAGAAAAAATTTTCCATCGGGTTGAAAATGTTATAAAACAATTGGTTCATACAGCAGCTGTGCGTTCATCGAGATATGAAGCACGCGGGAAGTTTGGAGAGCACTCAAGAAGCTAGAGTTGCTCTCGGCTACGCCTCGAGCAACTCTTACGCATCTTTCGTGCTCTCCAAACTTCGAGCGTGCTTCATATCTCGATGAACGCACGCTGACGTATGAACCAATTGTTAATTGAAGAATAAAAAATAAACCTTTGGAGTGGAAAATTGAAATATTCATTCAAAGCATAGATTGGAGTTAATTTAATTGGAATTAAGTCTTCGTTTCTTCATTTATTTTGCGTCTAATATTTTTCAGAATCAGTTTCTCTTTAAACTAGGCTTCATCCTAATTAGTATATGTAATCACATGAGGCCAAGTACTATTAAGGATTAATTGCACGAGAGTTTTCAAAATTTTCCAAAATTGCCCGAGTCGCGAAGCGACGAGGGCAATTTGGAAAATTTTGAAAACTCAAGTGCAATTAATCCTTAATAGTACGAGGTCTCATGGGATTACTTGTTTATCAATAAAGGGCAAAATTTATACGAAGGAAAATCACGCGCGCAGTCTATTTTTAACAAATTTCAAGATAACGAACGGTTGCTATGCAACGGATTAGCTAATCATTAACAGGTAATCATGCCCTCTCTTGATTACTAAAAATGCCCTCGATTAAGAAAAAATGCCCTCTCTCTCAACCAATCAGTGCTCAGTAATTTTGCCCTTTATTGATAAGGATTCAAAGTACATGGTGATAATCTTCCTGCCGCCGAGCGAGCTCTACAGGAAAAAAAACCTTGTAGGTTATGTTTTATATAACCTACATTATATTGTCTTCAACCTTTATTGAACGGTCACTTAAAGTGGAACCACCCAAATAGAATCGATTGTATTTATGAGGTACTTTCTGTACATAAAGTGGTCAATTGTGGCATAAAATGGAACTTTTTTTGTTGTTTTTCGTAATACCCTTATTCTGTGGAACCTGCATAGCGGTCAACCTGTATGAAGCGGTCACGCTGCCATTCTGCGTGAGTGACCGCTTAACACAGGTTGGGCTGTAACTTGTTTTTCTATTAGAGGGAGAGGATGTGAGTAGGAATATGAACGAGAAGCGGAGGGAATCAGTTCATATGCAATTACACGAGAGCGGCTTTGAGACATACTAGAGTTAAGTTTAATGATAAACAAATACCAGTAATAAAGACTTTGGTCGTGAAAAATAGGATTGATAAAAATCTGTGCAATCCTATGTAATTTTGGACATACTCAATCAAAATTTGCTCCAAAACTGACATTGGAAAAATTGAAATAGAACACATTGTGCTTACCTGATGTTGGTGAAGATGATGGAGTTTGTATATCTATGAGTAGAAACAGAGTGGCAAAGTAAATAACTTCTATACTTTGCCTAGCTGTTCCTATCTTAAAGAAGTTATTATATGCCAAGGCAGTCTCGGAACCCTGTTCAGTCCTTTTAGGTGATCTGGAAAGGTTAAAGAGTGGAAGAACCTACCTGGTACTGCAGTTGTCCTTACCAGCTGACCTACATACAGAGGGGAAAAAAAGGAAGCGCCTGAGTAAATGTGTAGCTTTTCTCTAAAATAGCAGTAGATTTAGATAAAAAATAGTAATAAAACCACAACAAAACAGAAGAAAATTAGAGAAATAAAACGAGCAAAACAAAACAAAAAGAGTGACAAACAACACGAAGAACAATAACAGAAATTAATAAACCAAAAACAGCAAGGTTTCTCTGTGTTTCTTTTCATGACTGGCTACATCTACTCTCACGAAGCTAGCTTAACTACAAATTAAATCAATACCTTCAACATTAACGTCAAAGGTCAAGTTATCGTGTCCCAATGGATTCTTGGCATAACAGGTGTAACTTCCGCCTTCTAATACAGTGATGTTGCGAATCTTAAGCCTTGTTTCTGAATCGACATTCGATTTATTCTGTAGGAGATGGTCACGATGTCTCCAAGTTACCCACGGGTAAGGATACCCTTGCACTCGAACATCCAAATGAAGATCGTTTCCTTCAATGACCTGAGGCTCTGGAGGACTCTCTCGTGTTAATTGTGGGGGTTCTAAAAAAAAATCAAAATTATCCAACTACTATAGGGAGTTTTGCATTCCTTAAGCGACAGAAAAGAAAAGCAAAGATACAAAGAAACAGCGTCCGAAGTGATAAGATTAGTAAACGAAGGCGAGGAGTAGGGAAACTTTAAGGGCCAAAAGCCATATTTTAAGATCAAAATTTAAAGAACGGAGAAGCAAGTGCTGGTACATTTACCAGTCCAATTTGTTTCTTTAGCTGACAGTCTTATTGTAAACTTGTTTTAAACAGAACATTTTAAGGGCACGTTAAGCTACCGGGACCCTCAATAAATGGATCCCTGACGTCACCTGTGGGTTTCTGTTGCTTCCCGTCCTTGCTCCGTATTTTTATCTCAGGGTTCTCCAATTATCCTTACCCCCCAGAAAAACAACATTCCAAATGTCATTTCTTCCTTGAAACCTTGGACAACAAAAGTCACCACGTGGATTGTCCACTGCTAAAGATATAATTTCCCAATTTATTATTACTATTATCACTTGTATAAATATCACCTTTGGCTATATGGAGGAGGATTATCGTAGACCTTTCTCTCCCTACATGCATCATCTGGGGAATACAGATAAACCATTTTCCATCATCTGCAGGTAGTACCTTCTTTATAACTAAGGTGCCGTTGGTGTAAACTTCCAAGTTTTGGTCGGGAACTGTCACTGTCATGTTTTGAACACGCGCTATCCGGGACTTTGGCAAGTCATGTTTGCAATCATAGGTAGAGCAGCGGTGCCAATCGATCTTTTTAACGTTTTCTGGATCACTGGCTGCAGAGCACGACAGCAAGAGTCTCTCGTGAATTTTTACTGTAACCTCAGCAACTATCAAATAAAGGGTGATATATTTTTTTTTCAATTTTTTTATTTTAAGATCATAACTTCTTACTTTCATTACCAGTACCTCCCTTTTTCTCCGATTTTTTAATCAGGAGTGTTCGGTGAGCTTCTTTTCAAAAACTTGCATACAATCACACGCTGACCGATTTTAAGCGTACCATTTAAATATGGTATACATTTTAGCTTTTCATTATTTTTATTATTATCATTGTCATTATTAGTATTATTATTACAAATATTATCATTATTACTATTTTTACTTTTATTATTATCATTATTGTAATTATTGCAATTAAAAGTATGTTAAAATTCTCCAACTCGAAAGTAGGACTGGACTTTGGACAGTACGCGCCAAGTGCATGTGCTGTTGTCGTGCATTTCGGAGAAATTGTAAATTAAATTATTGAAGACGTAGAACCTTTGGCTAGTTTTTGTTCTAAATCTTTCTCGTGGTCGTCCGATTTTTTTACCGTGGCCAATTTACGTTATTAACTCAGCTGATAATACTAAATTACCCTGTCATACTCTCTCACCGACGCAGCACCACAGTTTCTTTAGAATCAGTCATCCAGGAGCTGTGAGTCGTTTTCAAGTCGGAGCAGAAGAGCCCCTGTCTTGAAATCGATTCACAGCCCCTGGGTCTCCGAGGATGGTTTTCAGTCTGATTACCACTACTTTATATATCTATCGTTATTATTTTTTTATTATCAATATTATCATCATTGTTAATATTATTTTTTGTAATGCATGCTTCGTGAAATTGCTGAACGCACGGCGCCCTCGCGATCTGCTTGACTGAATCGCCATTGATATGCCGCAATTTGAGTTCATGAATAAAATTTACCAAATGTTTTGTAGTAGTTTATCATGCCAACCAAGGCTTGGCTTGGATAAGTAATGGGTATATGTCTGACAATTCTCTCTGCACTGATTAAAGTATCGAAAAGGCCGCCAAAGAACTTGTTGCTTTGACTTGTTTACAAACAAAGACTGACATAACATTAAAGCGGCTTTCTATAGTCAACTCCGATCGCCAGCTCAAAAGTTTGTGTTACAAGAACACTTATTGATAATGCCGAAAAATGCCGTATATTTTAAGGAGGGATAGAGTTTTTTTTGTAGCTGATCATGATAAGGTCCACAAGTGAGTTCTTTATCGCGCGTATCGCATTAAGTAACGCTAGGCAAGACTTTGGAAATGAAAATTCAAGCAGTCATGAATTAAACAAAATCACCCGCGAATCAAAAGTAACGAGTTTTAAATTTCGATTCATTCCGAAGGCGAGAAGGATACCACTTCAGCAGAGAAACCATGTCCTTGTTGCGACTTCTCCGGCTGCGAAATAGTATTTATGCCGCTATAGTTACAAGTAACTCAAACATCTGCCGGACAGCGTGTAGATTCTGGGGTTTCATTAAACAAACTTAAGTGCTCTAATAAACGTACCTTTGGATCTAAGGATAAAGCTCGATGAAAAGAAGAAATTTAGAAGAATTATTCCCAAAGAAATGTGCATATCAGGTAGAAACTCCGCTGCAAAATGAATCAATGTTGGTTCGGCGAACAGTTGACAGTCG